CCGCAGCCACATCACCCACCACTAGGCGAGGGCGTGGCAAGAGCAGTTGCAGGCACGCAGGCAACGGCAGTCTGCGCCGGCGCGATGTCCCAGTCGCGCACAGCTCGCGTAGGAGGATCCCTTCAGCACAGAGCATGCGAGACGATGAAGCAAGAAGGTGTTCGCACATGTGGCTGTGGCAAAACGAGAGATCCCGCAGCAGGTGCTGGGGCGGTGAGCATGGAGCTTTCGGCTTGCAGCAAGGCGCTGAAAAGCTTCTGAGCAGGGTCGCTGTGGTTGGTGGCGCTCACACGGGCCTGGCCATGCCGACGTGGCAGCAAACGACACCAGCTGCAAGTGCGCAGCTGGAACTCGCCGAGTTGGGCACTGCACATGTGGAAGACTGCAAATGCAGAGGAAGCTGCCAGCACTTCGGCAGCTCATAAAACACCTTGTGACCCGGAGGCTTTGAAGGAAGTTTTCTTACTGCTGCGAAGACACTCTTGCCAGCCTCACGTATCTGTCCTCATGGATGGAGATGCGGATGCATTAAGATGACTGCATTACACGGCGCAGGCGGTGCAGGGCACTCTGGAGGAAGGGTTGACAGCGAAACCGCACAAATGAAAGGACTTGCAAAGCGTAAGCTCAGCAAGAACCTACGACCTAGGATTTCTTGCACCAAGGTCGCGCACTTCCCCTTCCCGAACACTTGCTGTGGGCCTCTCCCAGCATTTGTCCAGCAGCTGGCATGCCCAACTGGGTGAGGGCCATGCTTCATGACCATGTCTACCCTTGCCATCTGCATACAGCTTTCTGTTTACATGCTGGACCTTCAAACAGCAGCAGGCAGGTGAATGAACACCCCGAAGACTAATGGGTATATTTGGGGTATGTTAGGAGTATAGTGGACGTATATTGTAAGTAGAATCAGGTAGAACTAACAATTCCAATCAAGGGTTTAGCCCTTGCTGCAGCTAGACCTCTTTCCTGTTTCCTTTCCTGTTTTCTGACAAGTGGAGGGTTTCAAAGAGGTGAATACAGATCAGGGAAACATTGGGAACTTGTGACTGACGGTTAGACACTGCCAGCAACCGATCCTCAGCCAATCAAGTAGTCCCTTCCCCCAAATATGAAACACCCCCCACAAATTCAATACTCCTTTAGGTTCTGTAGGCTTTTCTCTCTGGCATGCGGTGCAACTTGCCAGCACCCTTTACCGGTTTGATGTTCGCCCGCTTTTGTTGCCAGTCCAACATCCCCATGAGCTATGGAACACTGGAATGCTTCGGAACAACAGGGAAGTCTTCGCATGAAGCTCAACGCGTTCTTGGTCCCACGCACTTTACTTTGAGATCGCCTTGCCTTCGACATGTTCCGCAGCTGCGATCGCATCTTTTCCAGGCCTGGAAAAGCTTTCCCTCTGGGTGTCTACATGAGTGACATGAGATCCGCCAAACTTGTTCATAAGGAAGCCAGGAGGAGCTAAGCTAGTCTGTTTTGCAACGTAACATTCAGAGGACCTAAACAAAGGTGTCTGGGGATAGTACCTTAGAAGCCCGTTGTCATGATGCAAAGCCAGCTAGGGGTCAAGATCCTTCACTTTAGATCAGACTCAGTAGGCTGCTCCTGCTTTTGCTCCTGCTATTGCTCTTGCCCCTGCTCTTGCTCTTACTCTTGCTTTTGCTCTTGCTCCAGCTCTTACTTACTCCCGCTCTTGCTCTTGATTTGCTTTTACTCTTTCTCCTATTCATGCTGTTGTTCCTGCTCTTTTTCTTGCTCCTGCTCTTGCTCTTGTCTTGCTCTTGCTCCTGCTCTTACACCCCCCTAATTCCAAAATAAGTGTTAGAAAGGGAAGGATAATCCTCAGTGGCCAACATCTGCACCACTGCACTCCGCTGCAAGATGCAAGACGGCTAGCAGGGCTAACTCTATACTAGCGTCACGTGTTAAATGAACTTGAGCCTTTGGCTGTGACTTACCTGGATTCTTCCTCTTCGCCCAAGCCTTGAAGATCCGTTAACAGCTCGGTGCGGAGCTGACAAGACTCCTGCCACGGCTCAGCGTTGTACTGCCCTACGACACCCCAAAACAGAATGGATCACGGTCATTCCTGCGACAGGTATGCCATGCTGAGGGTGCAAAGCTGGTACAAGGTTGATTCTGGGGGCTGTTGCAGGGTCTGAGCCCCTTATACAGAAACATTGTAGATGTATGAGCCCTCCCCACCAGTCTTAGAAATCATGTGCATGTTGAGTTCTGCCTGTCACTGCTGCTGGTGGCACGGGAGAAGCAACCGGGAGACCATGACTCCAACGCACTGGGAAGCTACACAAGGAACCAAGACCCGCAGAACGGCTGACTGCGATCCAAACATGGCATCCTCTGCTGCAGGCTTGAACCGAAGGCTTAAACGCGGCGAAGCTCTCACTCCCAGGCTGTGCCATGACGGCTCGGTGATTTCTCTACCGGCCTCATGCTGCTGACTGCTGATTCCGCACATATCCTGGTCTGCACAAAGTGTCCTCATGGTTGGCGCTGGGACTGCATGGGCATATGATGTGCCAGACGACTACATGAAGCTTATCACAAGCCCCCAAGCTTTTGACAAGGATTCAGCCGTCAGTACCGCACAAAGAACCAGGACTTGTGCCAAGTTCCTTCTCCTAGCGACCCAGGTCACCTAATCAGCGCCGTCGGGGTCAAGACGCGGTCGGTCTCAACCCCCACACTGTACTGTATCAGGGCAAGTTCGTATTTCCTTGGCTTGGATGCTTCCAGTTGGGACGCTGTCTGCTTGTCTTTGTTATACTGTTGTTTGGGGCTGGAGCCATTTGAGAAATGCGCCAGTAGCTTGACAAATACGACCAAAACACTTTCGAGCCTGATTCCTCAAATGTGCTGCGCAGATTCGCGCAGCAAAGCAACACTCACAGAGCTGCTTTGCAGGCCTGTTCCTTTTGCTCAGCCGGACCGACGAACCCCTCATGGCCACAGGAGCACATGTACTCAATGACAACTCCAACTGGAGCATCGGGGAAGCGATCCTGCCATTCCTCCGTGCATTCAACTTTCACCGCAGCAGCTATGCACTCTCCCCAGGGCCCGGCAAGGTGGCCTGCCCCGTCTGTCCCAGGTTCCACGCCAGCGAGCACATCTTTCCAGCTGCCGTCCGTGAATGCTGCATACATGTCTACCTGCGGAGTATCGCTGTCAAAGCTCTCGTAGTCGTCATCCGAAGCATTGAAGCTGCTGATGTGACTCTTGTAGCCATCTGCCCTCGGCCTGTCCGGAATGGAGATCATGCCAATGGTCTCTGGTAGTGGGTCGGAGTTGAAGTGCCCCGGATCGTTGATGCGCGCAGTCATCTCTCGCACAAAATCGTTCCAGGTAATTTCGCCAGTGCCACTCACGTCCCACTCATGAAAAGTGGCAACCAAATCTGGGCCGTCATCAGCAGGAGGGAAGCCACAGGCATTCGTTAGTTCCCACACGCCCGGAATGTCAAGATTTGGTGCACAGCTGGACATGGATCCATAATACAAGAAGGCGTTGCCCATGGCTTGCTGGTGCTCTTCAGTGGGAATGATGTTGTCACCCTTCTCGCGACGCATTTTGCACAATCTGTTGAAGGTCATCGTGAACTGTAGAATGGCCTGCTCCTTCGACTCTGGCGGCGAGATGCTGAGGCCGACCTCTTGACCAGAGAAGCGCTCGCACTTTCGATTGGCCAGCCGAAGAAGCGTGTCCTTGTAGTCGTTGTCCCCGCACTCTTCGGCAATCCATGTTGGCAAGCCTCGAGGCTCCAACTCACTGAAGAAATCCTTGACCTCATCCATGCGCTCCTTTGCGATGCACATCCAATTGATCAAGAGGTTGTCTGAGGTCCCCAGCCCCTTCATAGAGGACAGAATCGCTTCGGCCCAGACCTTTGGGGCTGGCTTTACAAGGGCCATCAGCGCTTGCTTGAAATCTCCGCTGGTGTCCCCTTCGATAGCGTCAAAAATAGTGGAGCCCGTGAGCCTCTTGTAGGCTTCCGCGAGGTCGCGGCGCTGTCTCTCTGAGAGGTGGACCAGCAGTGTGAGGAGGCCCGTGTCGTCCGTGCCCCAGCCCAAGATGCAGTCACGAACGGCGCACGCATGCCGTACGGTGGGCTCCCGCAGGAGACCCAGCATGCAGGCCCGGAAGTTGGGCGTCATGAACATGCACTGACCGCAGTCCCAGGTCTCACTGTCGATTCGGGTAAAAAGCTCGTCTCCAAACTTCTCTTCAAACTTGGCCTTGAGGGTCTCGATCTGTTGCGGCGTTTTGCCTGCGACAATCTGAATGATGGCCTTCTCGTTCGTCCCGAAACCATCCATGGCCTTCTTCAGATCGTCGCAGTCCTTATCGTAGTCCAGTGAAGCTTTGGGGTGCGTGCATTTCAGCACGGCCACAAGGATGCTTTTCAGGTTCCCGCTGGTCTCCGACTCAATGTGCTGAATCAAATCTCTGCCAAAAAGCCTTTCGTAGGCCTCCCTGATTACCGCCCGCTGCTTGAAAGTGGAGCACATGATAATGCGGACGAGCTGATCTTCCGAGGTGCCCCATCCTGCCATAGCACCATGAAGGGCTGTGGCGCGGCTCTCAGCCCACGTCATGGCTTGATACTTCAGCAACTTTTTGTAATTGAATGAAGTTTCTGACTCGATGTGATTCACGAGCGTCCGCTCGTGTGTCTTCAAATACAGGCCTGGCTGGTTGAGAAGCTTGAACTAAGTGGTTGTCCCTGGAGTTTAGTTGATCCCTGCAGCAATCCCGAGAAATCTGTACATAACGCTGTTGCTATCAGCAATCCAGAAACCGTGGATCTCATCGTAGAGGTTCTCGGGTAAAGTGCACACCAAGGCAGTGAGGGTGTACTCGTCAGTTCCCCAGCCGTGCATGGCATCCCAAAGTCCCTTCACGTAGAGCTCAACCTAGGGGGCAAGGATTGCAAGGATTGCAAAGCAAATGAAAGTGCACGGCTGCCATGCTCCAAGCAACGGGCAAGCTGGTCAGGGACAACATTGCGTGCTTCCACCAATTGGTGAAAAAGAAGAAGGTCCCCTTCTCGTTGCATTTCTTTTCCACTTCTTCCTTCAACGATGCTCCATAGACAGCTTCGTAGAGCTCTGTGTGTCGCTTGATGGCGGTCGCTGGCATCGACACCAACACCTGCAGTTATCGAGCCAGTATTACGATACCTGCATTCATTCGAGGTCACTTCCCCAGACTCTAGTCGCTATGAGGTACGTACCCTTGTCATGATTGGTATCGTTGAGCATGTAAAGACTCTTTCTTGATCTCAACGGTCGCGCGAATTGGGTTTGTTGCTCGTCTTATCTAATCATCCGAGGCATTCCCATCTTCGAAGTACCTCCTTCAAAGTCTCGACGCTGAAAGGGGCATCCTTGCAGCGTTGCGCCCAGTAGACTGGGGCGATGCTTATGGTCTCCTCGCTGTTTCGCCCAGCTAGCCTGGACTTGGCTCACAGCTCCCGCGCCAAAGGGATCCAGGAGACTTTTCGTATGGAAGTTCCACTTTGACAGGGACGGTAGGGGTTCGACGGATGAGAGGGGTTGCTGAGGCGATTTTCCTTATCCAGCTAAAGATTTCACCGATACTATACCACTAGACAACATACTTCTGGTAAGCGCCCAGTAGCATCATCAGAGTTTCCTTGTAATCACCAGTGCATTCCGACTCGATCCACTCCTCCAGCATCTGCCCATTTTGCCCGTGGAAGTGCTTCCGGACCTCCAGTAGGACATCAGGAGGCACATAGGGAGTGCGCAAGATTTTGTGTATAGGGTTTGTGGGTGCTCAATATCGGGAGCTAGTTTCCATGCCATTTGGCCGGTTGTTTGATCCACAGCACCGGACCTCCATCATATCATCTTTAGCCAGGACCATAAAGTTGATGAGTAGCGAGTCGGAGGTTCCCATGCCCTTCATTGCACCGGTAAGTGCCTCGGCCCATACCTGTGGTGCCGGCTTGATTAGATCACAGAGCGCCTTCTCGTAGTCGCCGCTGGTGTCCGCTTTGATGTCTTCGAAGATGTCCCGGCCGAACTCCAGACTGTATTCCTTGATGAGAGCGGCCTTCTTGAAATCCTCCAAATGCACCAAGCAAGTGATGAGACCTTCATCGTCTGTGCCCCAGCCTTTCATGCAGTCTCGGACAGAATGCGCGAGCTGCTTCATGGGGTGACGAATGCACCCCAGCAGCGTATCTTGGTAGTAGCCGCTGGTTTCGCTCTTTACCCACTCAAGCAAGTCTCGCTCATACAGCTCCTGAAATTTGTTGTTCACATCCTCCATTTGCTTGGCTGTCTTGCTGCAAATCATCTTTGTTAGGGCCATCTCGTCGGTCCCCCATCCTTCCATAGCTTCCTTCATGGCTGCACAATCTGCTTCCAAATCGAAGGCCGTCTCCTCCGCCTCCAACATGCAAAGCAGGGCCTTTTGAAAGTCGCCGGACGTTTCGGATTGGATGTGCTCCAGCAGATCTCTGTCGTATTTGCGCTGATAGGCTTCTTTGACCTCTCGACGCTCGCCGAAATTCAGTTGGCAGATCACCCGGATCAGCTGATCTTCAGCAGTTCCTAGGCCGGCCATGGCCTTGTTCAGGATTCTGGCGCGGCAGTCCTCCGGCGCCATGGCCTGCCATGTCATGACTTTCTGATAGCTGAAGGATGTCTCGCTCTCAATATGCTCTAGCAAGCCCTTGCCAAAGGTCTCTTGGTACTGTTGAAAGATAGCCATGCGCAAGCGCTCGGGCAAGGTGCACACCAAGGCTGACCTGACTTTGCAATGGCGAGCACCAGCCCATTGGATGCAATCTCCATCAAGACCCTCTTTATCACCCCGCACATACAGCCCTTGACGAACACCCACAAATGCTTCGCAAAATCCGGCAAACTGCTGGCAAAGTCCGACGACACAACACTCTGCAGGCGACTCATCATTACTGATCCGCGAGTAAGCGACAAGGAGTTCTCGTCGGTGCCCAGGCCCTGCATGGCATCGTTCAGGCAGCGAACCCAAAGGTCAACCTCGGGCTCCAGCAGGGCCTCGGGAGATTCTGAGCATCTGAGCGCCAGGCTCATGGGGTCACAAAGTTACAGCATGGCAACTTGCCGTCATCATGAAGTAGTGACAAAACTTACGACAGGATTGAGAATACTGACAAGAGCAAGTGTCAGGATGGTCAGGTCTTCCGGGATCGTTGTAGAAATCACCGCATGAGTGTAGGGATCATTGTCGGTCTGCTCTGGTGGTCACTACAGACATGTAGAGGATAATGATCACGTGATGTTGCTCGTATCAAGGCAGGTCAATTGTAGGACGTATCCGGGGTGGGTCACTTGTAGGATTGTAGGGAGTGCGAAAGTTATAGCAGCAAGAGTGTGAGCGGTTGCACCATCTGGGAAGCATCATGGTGGTCATGCAGAAATCCGAGGAGCATGACAGTTATCATAACAAGAGTCAACACGGGTATTGTCGGTATCATGAAGAAACTTCAAAACAACCATCCAAAATCCCTCTTGTACTGATCCAGACTACTAGCTCCCGAAAAAAATACCAGCTTCCCTACGACAGTGCCTTCATGCAGTTCTTCCAATTACCGGAGAAGAGCCAGCCGTCCGACTCAGCTGCCTTCTCCACGATCCTCTCGCTTACCTAAATTGGGCTCAGAGCTTCCAAGAATGGAAGGGTTTCAAACCGCAAGGGATGTGAACCAAGGAACTTGACAAAGCTACGAATACTTCTGAAACAGCCCGGTCGCATTGCCTGCTTTGAGGCTCTCGCTGTACTTGCTCACCATGCCCTGAACAGTCATGCTGTCGATGGTGCCCAGTACCTCAACAAGGCACCTCCCCTCATGCAAGGCGTCGAAGCATCTCTGCGCCACATTTCCGAGCACTTCTGCATGGTTCAGCTCCTCTTCTGTCATGCCACCAGCATCAGCCCAAGAGGCGAAGGACGGGAATGGGATATGCCCTGTGTGGGCCGGATCAGCCTTGACCATGATCCCATCAATCTCCTCGTTTCGGTCTGCGTCTCATATTGCACACTACTGAGGATGACTGAGGCAGGGGTTCCCCCGGCTACGTTCCACTGTATGGTGAGGACCTTATGACCTGATAAGTTCACGGATAAGTCTCCTCCAAAGACGGCTCCACGCCTCTAACAAGCCGCACCATTATGTCCATCTCACGTTTGCTGATGGAGCCATTGCCGTCCAGGTCGAAGGCTTGGAATTGGAATTTCCTCGCGACTTCCGTCGTGGACGAATCCAGCACGGCCTTCTTGAGAACGGTCAGGGTCTGGGGCTCCCGTCTCTGCCACCTCTTGGCATAGAGGTTGCTGTCCTCGAAGTAACGGTACTCCACATAGTTGTGCAGCCAACTCTGGATGTATACGTTGTCCTTTTGACTTGATAGGACGCAAGCAGGCAAGAACATCGAAAGACAAACCTTCGAAATCTCGATCAATACCCTGAGCTCATCAACCTCGGGGAAAGTCAATGTCTGTTGCTATGGCGAACTTTTTCGTGTATCAACTCTCATGACCCCGATAATTACGAAGTTATTTTGGAGGAGATCCCGATGTCTCATCTCCATGGGCCGGCCCTGCTTGAAGAAACACCAGAGCTGGCCCGACGCATTGTCGTCCTTCCAGAATTCTCTTTGGAAGCGGATGACCATGCTGCGGTTAGAAGGCGGTTCAATGGAGATTTCAGAGATTGTGCAAGGACTTTTGGTATTTATGGGTAATAATGCTGACTAATGATGGCTGTCAACACCCTCTGATAGGTCCTATGAATACGAGAATGCATACGATCATCGCCACTGGTACCTATTCGGAACAAAACGTGTCTGGACTTCCTTTGCATTCTCCACGAAAATCGTTGGGAACACTCCCACCTTGTCAGTCAAGGCCAGGGGCTCGGTGTCGGTGGAAGCCTCAAGATACCTGATACGAGCAGATTGCCCCTTGAAAAGCTTGCCATCCACTGAATCTGGAAAGATTGCTGTCAGGTAATCTGAATCCATCTAGGGTTGCATCTTCTTTTAGGGATTAAAAAACTACGACAGTTCATATTCAGTGTCACTACAGGCGGCAACTTGACTTCACGGTTCGACCTCCGCATGAATCATACATATGATTACCCCACAGACCGAAAAACTATCAGAGCGCTTCTACCTGTGTGCTTCCTCTTGTCAAGTGCCACAGCTACTTCCCCGTGTCCACATGCTCGAAGAAGACATCATCACCATCTTGGACCACCGAATTGGTCCCATCTTTCCTGGATCTTGGTGGCGGCTTTTGATGCTCACCCTCGGACTATTCCGGGCAAGTTCTGTAGACTCATTGAAGCTGTAGTCCCTGTAGAGAATATGGGTATCACACTCTCAGAGCTGGCAACTGAGGTACCGGCCACACGCCAACAACAGTACACACCCAGTTCTATAAACAAGGATCATTAATAGTTCTTGGAGCTTCTTACGTCTTTCGATGGGCTCGTGAGGCTTAAGCCTTCTGTTCACGGATCCATGGTTGAATTGTTTGATGTCTGCGCGGCCTTGTCATGGTGTGTCGGCTTGTTGTCTGCTCAACTTAGTTGCGTACACTTTTCGCTTGCTGCGTTTATGGACACAAGGCCTTTTTATAGACACCAGGAACGTTTGTAAACAAGCACTTCGCCAGAGGTCTTGTTGTTATGATGGCCCGACATCCAACACCTGGTGCGGCCCACCGCCCCCACCACTACCGCCATCACCACAACGTACAACCGCGGACCAGTCCACCATCATACCGGCACGCGCACGGCTGTTAACTGTTAATAGACACCAACCGCGAGTCGCATGTGCTGACCCACGGAACCTTCTGGTAATGGAGTTAATTAACATACGTATGCAGCGATGTGCCAGCGGAAGAAGATGGACGAAAAATCAGACCGTTAAGTGAAGTTCTGGAACAACGCCGCCTGAAATTGCTGTGTCATGTGCGTCGCAGGGATAGACAGCATCCCATGCATCAATCAGCATTCAAGACGCAATCTGCCATACCCAGGGGAACCGAGCAATGTAGAGTTCTGGACAACTACGAACATGGAAAAGGCATGGAACGTCATCAAAGTTTATGACGGAACAACTCCGGATCACTCGGACGGCAGTCTCGCGCAATGTAAACCAACTCAGTGTGAAACAACTTAGTGTGAAGCACCACTTTTGTGAAGCAGCATGGACGCGTCAAAGATACAACAACCCTGAACCGTACCAGGTGTATGCAACATGAGATCTCAGATCTCAGTGTGAACTGCTCAGTGTGAATCGGCTCAGTGTGAAGAGGGCTGTGTCACTTCTAAGGATTACAGAATGGAAGAAAATAATGCTCAGTGATTATATAAAAACTGACGCGGAGTGAGCTGTAGCATGAATAAGGAAGTAGGTTAGCACCGGCGACTTGCGCACTCATCTGGCTGCAAGTTAAGGTTTAAAAGAAACTGCAGCGATGTGTTCTGCTGTAGTTCTGCTATCCAAACGGTTGGCTTGTACCGCAGCAGAATGCTTCAAGGTGCATCTTAGCTAGTTGCGCGGAGAGGTGCTCAAGCTCGTTAACGAACTCGCTATGGCGTTTAGCGACCACAAGTAGGTACTAGCTACACGTAGTGTGGTTCACACCCCCTGCAGCGAACATGGACGGCACCAGGGGGCACTTCATGCCAAAATCCTGGCGTTTGACTTGATTTCGTCAGTCGTGTGAACCTTCACGTGTTAGTTCTGCTTGTCCGTTTGGCACGTGGGTTGTCTGTAAACATGCTAGTTGCTAAGTGCAACACACGCGTGTGCCCCTTGGTTTCTTTTTCGTGTTACAGAAGTAGCCGCACTGCAGCTACGTGTAGCTGAAGGCTCCAGAGTTTTCTAGTTGAACCATCAGGGTGCTTCTGAAAAGTACATCATGTAAACAAGACGTCTTGTGAGGCTATGCGTACGGATGGAGGGCATAGAGCGGCCTGGACCATACCGGTTTCGACTCACACACTCGCACAAGGCCGAGCCATACCAGCTTGAGGAACTAGAGAAGGACAGTCCGTTCTAGCTGGGAAGGAAGATTTGGAAACCAATCCAGTATTCAGGGCAGCATTTATACTGGCTATTCGGGTGCGTACTTTATAAAAATTGGCATGCAAAGAAGCTAGACTGGCATAAGCATAAAAACGCAGGGGTCCAGCCCTCTAGGACACGAGGTGGATTTCGGTCGCTTACAGTTTGTCCCTGGCGGCTTTATATGTAAATCCGCTTAAATTAATTTTGATCCGGTGAGCAAACAAAGTAAGGACTGAAGCACACTTTGCTGATCCTTTGCAGTTCGAGGCAGAATCGCTACATTACTGTTGTCACAAATATTGTAGCACCGTTGCTGGTGCTGGCTGGCTTGCATTTTTTGTTGCTTCGGGGCTCCAGTGGTTTTGCCCTGGGGTGGTCTTAAACATCTTAAAAGATCTGAGTCTGAAACGCAAAAGGTCCGAGGCTGCATAAGGAAACTGTCGAGCTTATGTGGTGTGCACCAAACTTTTGTAAAACGTCCTGAAATCACAGGTATTTACAATGCAAGAACCTGGGTTAAGTAAGTGTACAAACTGGTGTGGTTCCCGTTGTAGAGAAATTTTGCATTGCTCGAATAGGCCTTTACGACAGTTACTTAGCATCCTTGCTTTGTGGCAAGCCACACAAACACAAGCTCCTGCAACCTGCCATGAGCCTGAAACCAAATACAGAAAACCTAAAACTAACCGCAGGCCCCACAGTCGACCGTTCTTTATTTGCACCTCATTGATCACGGGCAAAAGTCCTACACCAGCAACCTTAGTTCAGCCCATTGACGAGACCGGTGTAACACAACTGGTGAAACGGCCTCCATAGCACAGCTGCCCCCAAGAAGACAGAACATTCGCCAGAGAAAGAATAGGCCTACAGTAGGCCCATGCAGCCTAGTCTCCAAACTGGCTTGAAGTGCTTGTGACCCTCAAACCGCAACTGAAGAAACAGGCAGGCAGGGACTCAGCAAGCCACAGTATCTCAAGAGCCCCTCTGCCTGCTGATCTATACACGACTGCGAGACGGAACATTCGCCACGAAATGCATGCAAGGAGGTCTTACGGAGAGGGCCAACCCAGTCGTGCAGTGATCCCCTAGTTCCGCAGCCATTCTAATGTGTGTTGATTCCATGTCTCCATTCTTGCTCCGTGCTCCTTGTTCGCCACTCACCTCCCGCCTGCTCGATCTGCCAAACTTGGAAAGCGACATACAGTCCCCAGGTCAGCAAAAGTGGACAATGAATGTACCGAATGCGGAGCACGTGCGTTATTATGCCTCATCAATTCCAGCAACACTCTCAACGCCACCCCCCGCAGCTTGCTCGCAGGTTGCTCCACCCGGCTACGGCGGTGTCGTACGATCTCGCCAACGCGGGCAAAGCAGTACCACTCACTCCGTTGCGTGCGCCATTCTGATCTGAATTCACCATACCCCGGCATCGGCAACAACGCATGTGATGGAACTCATGTCTGTCATATAACTTGTAAGGCATGCAGAGATTTCGGAGCCCCTGAAAGCCGGCTGGTAGGTGACTCCACTGACTCCACGCCACTCGATCCATAGCGCACCCATGGTGAGTCAAGCGACGGTTTCGTGCGGTACGCATTCGTGATGCAACCAAACTCATCATCAACATACAACTACAGATAGCCGGGTGTTAGCAGTGCAAACAAGTCCACACTACTAGCTCCATCGTGCACAACCATAGTGATCCAGTCTCCCAACAGGCTGCTTCCTCAACATGCAGAAGGAAGGCATGCATCCCAACTCGAAGCCGTAGGGCGGAGATTACAACACTAGGGCGCATATGGTACACCAAGTGGTGTTGGACTTCGTCAAGTTCTAAGCCTACGATTTCCAGTCATGGCCCAGCTTCCGCCAAACGCGGAAGATGCAGGAGCCCCTGAACTCTTGACGATCCGCTTCAGTGGAGCCGCCCCCCAGCCATGCCCACGGCCATTTGGAGGGGATGGCCGGTACCTGCACAGTGCAGGTTCTGCTTTTTGCCACAGGTTTTCTTCTGTTTGATGCTACGACTTTTTGATGGAGTATGCCTTTTCACTTGCACCTGCCAACCCCAACCTCACAAACTGTCGAATCCACGGAGTGTTCCCTTGAGGATTGGCATGCGGATCCCTGTCGGAGTTCAATCGCCTCCGCCGTCACGGTTCCGTCCTCATTTCCTCCGAGCAGGGATTCTGCGCAACTGCGGATATGATGATTCGAGGGGGAAGGGGTTACACAAGCATATTATGGCGAGTAATTACCTCCTTTCCTTCAATTGCTGCTTCCGAGTAGGTGAAGATCAAATAGATGTGGTCGCCACCTTTGATCTGAGGCGCAACGGCAGCCTGGGCTGTACTCAGGAGCATAAACACTGTGAGCCGCAGAGAATCGAACATAAGCGAACAGTCAAGCAGCAGTGTCCCACCGCACAAACGGCAAGAATCCAGCATCCTTGGGTCGAACCGGATCGCCCTGCTGAGCTCGGAAATGAGGGTTGTAGGGAGGATCCGAGGAACCGCAGCAGCCCATTGCAAGGCGGAGCTGTCCCTAGGCATTCGGGGTCTGAGCCCTGCCTTGACTTCTTGCCTGTCACCCAATCCCTCCTAAAGCATTCATAACCACAAGCCGCCCAAAGCCATTGACTGCAAGCCCAAATCTTCGGAAGCGTGTGATCTTGTCTGGGTCCACGTAGCTGCGATGGAGAATCCCAGGAGGCTCACGCATCAGCGCTACATGGTGAATGTTCTTTTTTTTTGCTGCGGGACTCCATGGATTTGCCCGGGGCACAGCCGCTTTGCTTTCAGCACCCATGCCAAGAAAACAACCACCCGATTCGAGTAACGAGGCGACATAGGCCTACGGCCGACCGAACATACATGTGTTAGCGCACAGCTGCTGGGCAGCTAGCTCTGCATGACACGGCACTCAAACCACGCAGACTCAGACGTGAAAGGAGATACAAGCGGAGATGGTGATCACGCGGATGGAAGCACATACAATTCAGGCCATATCGCCAGTACTGGGGACTGCCACGGTAGCGGTAGAACTTCAAGGGTGACGACGAAGTCATCAGTAATAAGCGGCGTGTGAGATGTAAGCAAAGCACCCTCATCATACCACGACCATGCAAACAACTGGAACATGAAGCAGGGTTTGCCAATGCGAAAATAACGAATGGCATTCAGCAACAAGAGCCGGACATCGACCGCTTCCGAGAGGTGTAATGTCTGTGGGCCATCAACCGTGTCAATCCATGCCATGCGCAAGCTATGATCGTCCAAGTCAACTACGACGGCAACACACAACCAAGGAGCGGCTACTATTGCTGCTGCTGCCGCCTATGCTGCAAATCAATAGACGACTGACTCTATCTCTTGTATGTCAAGAAACACCCAAGTCCACAAATAGCGCCCTAGATGCTCCAGATGAGGACGGACGGCGGGGCTCGGATCGGACCCCTGACTGCTTGGTTTGTAAAGAGACGAGAAAGCAAGATGAACATGCGGCTTAGAGAGGGTTAGGTTAGGCACTGGCATAAAGGTCTGCTTGACATCATAAATCGGAACAAGGCTGAGACCCTACAAAAAGATACGTCGAATGCTGTGCCCTACAAGATCAGAATGGAACTTGATGAAGGGTTAAACCGTTCAGACCGTAACGGCATTTCAGCAGACTCCTAGCCTACCTCCTTCCCATATGACAACACTTGCTGCTACTTGTAGGCAGAACATGTATGGGAGTCCTGACATGGATTACAATTAATGAAACGTGTCATCAGAGATGTGACTGTCAATGTGACTGCCATCAGCGCAAGCTTGCGTGTCTCTTTTGCAATGGAATCTGAAACCTCTGACATCCTCAACAGTCACTGGTGTGGATCTTGACTAATTGAAGTCCCTGCAGTTCTTTCAGGCGACACCGGCTACACTGTATGTGTTTCATCGTCTTGCCCTCTGTTCGTGTCAACAGACCCTTTTGCAGGAATCTGCCATTTGACTCGAACAGATGGTTACCTCTTTCGAGCATGCTCCATGCATTTTCGCACGCGGTATTTTTCACTTGAACTTGTGCAATCGCCATAAGTTGTCAAACCAGGGGACATGCGCAGATTTGCAACCTGTAGTGCATGTAAAACGTTGGTGTATGAGTCGTGCGGCCTTGCGCTCTCAGTGGATTGCCAGCTCCTCCGAGAAACGAAGCAAATCAGGACATGGCACACATGTCAAGCACCGATGACCCACTACCAGGCCACTGAATGGTGGTGCAACTTGCATGCTGCCAAAGGCAGCCGCCCAGCAGAACCCATTATACGGAGGCTGAAGCTGAGGCACACATGCATAGTCAGTCATTTTTGCTGGGGCTTCGCAAGTACATCTTTCCGAGAACGGGCTAACTCGTTGAGCCGATCGCATGCTGCCAAACGGCCTCGGATCGCCATGAACTCCGCCGAGGCAGCGCGGCGCACGCGCCGCCTGCAGCGGGCGTGCCTTTGAATGCGCTTGGTTGCGTCCCAGGCGTGTGTGTCAGGCAGGGCAAAATGGTCTGCGTGGGGGAAATGGCAGGCGCAGCGCCTCGAGAGCTGAAAGTCCCAGGATGCAGCGAGTCCTCGCTGCATTGCCACGAAGGAGCGGCTCTGCAGGGCTCCACATGGTCTGAGCGGTGCCACGAACTCGAGCTCGATGGCATCCAGGCGGTAGCGGGGGGCTGCCAAGGACTGGGCCAAGCTCCTTGGGAGAGCTGTAAGAACCTCCAGGGCCGTGGCGTCTATGCATCGTGGATCCAATGCTATCACGCAACGGACGTCCAGGCCACAGCAGGCAAGCTGAAGGGCTACACTTCGCACCAATGCCACGCCAAAGCTGTGCCCACAAAGGATCAGTCGCGCCCTTACTTGGGTCGCAAGAGAAATGAAGAGATGCTTGTAGGACAGAGCATAGCGAAGCGAGTCCTCCACCGGTGCGCACATCTCCACACCCCCAGCATAGAACTGGCCCAGGCCAAAGTAGACTGATGCCGGGCCCACCATGCGACCGCCACCTCCAAGAAACATCATCTGAGTCACTGTGGCTGCCGAGAAGAAGGTGCGATCCACGGCTCCTTGGGCTGAGAGCCTGAGCTAAGGCCTGTCCTCGCAATTCTCAGACTCGACGACTCGGCGGCTCGTCGACCGCGACAGTTAATGGCTGCGGCTAACAAGGCAACCACGCAGCGTGCGAGACCGCAGCACGTTCTGTTCCGCATACTTTCCGGTGCCGTATTGTGGGATGCGAAGGCGAGATTTCGAGCCGGGAGATTCGGAAGACTTTGCCTGGCAATGGAGCAGCAGGAACGGCATTGATGCGGGCGACGCGCCACGATGGAGCAGTGCAAGAAGCCCGTGTGTGCGCCCATGCGGCCAAATGCGAACTCGCCCCAGGCATCTGCCAGCTCGAGCAGTTGCAAGAAGTTAGAACAGTGCTGAGAAGTGTGGCGCTCCTGTAGTTTGCCACGTGCGACGAAATAGGCACCATGAAGTCCGCGCGATTGCTTGCAGAGGTTTGTGCTCAGGGTGCAGGAAGCTGTCAGGCCGCACATGGCCCGGATGGCGATGGCAGACTTTAGTTTTTCACCAAAGCCATCGCCCTGCCCCCTCTTAGCTCAGGCCTTGCCGGGATTAGAACTAGGCGCCTGATACAAGAGGCGAAACTGTTTGGTCAAGCTGGCCAAACTGCTTGCCTCCTTCTTCTGTATCTTCAACTTCATAGCTTTAGGAGCCCTGAGACGAAGGCCCTACGAAGCCTCAAGGGCTCACGGACATTTCTGGGGGATCGCTGATCTTAACTCAAGGTCCCTGCAGCAGAGAAGCTGGCTCTGTGATGCTTTGCTGAGATTTCGACTCACGCACTCGCACCAGGCAGGCATGGCTTCAAGTCGTCCGAGATGTAGAGAAAGAGAACTCCAGCAGAGATTTTTTGCAAGCCTGTATTCTGCGAGGTCGCTTGACTCTTGAAGTTGAATGCTTTGCTTCTGCTTCTGGGCACAGCGCCTGAGGTCGCTGGACGAAGCAGCATGCATTTCTGGCTTCAGCCCGCCGGGCATCCGACTCTCTAGCACGAAAAGAAGCTTGAAGAGCGGCTGCAACAGAAGCTGAGTCAGCGTGTTGGACACTTGCACAAACATGCTGTCAAGACTTTCAATGATTTTGGGCTCCAGTTTAGCAAGCTTTGCCACTTCTCAAATTTTGCCGTGACAGCAGCTGTCAGCCTCATAGCGCCATGCTACGTCCAGAAGCCGCTTCATCAGCGCTAGCTGAGCTTAGGCAGAGCCGAAGGCTGGGGCCACAAAGATGCTCTACCGGTTGCAGCTGTCTGCCGGCGAGAGGGCTCCCACAAGAGGAGCAGAATTTGAAAGCCCAAGCTCTGCCCTTGAGAAGCACGGCCCCGTTCTAGACCGTGGCCCTTCGTGGGCATGCCAGGACTCCCTTGAAACTCCGGGGCCTCTTAAGTGGAGCCAACATGGAGGGAATGGAGGGAGCTTGGCAGAAGGGGGTTCCTGAGAGACTTAGCTCTGAGGACTGGTCGGACTGGAGCTTCTCCGAAGGACAGGATATCGACGCACAAAGGAGGAGCAGACCAAAGTGGCGTCCAGCGTGGCCTTTTGAAGGCCTCCTTTCTCGAGCAGGGCGCTGGCCGCCGTGGCCTGGGCATGAGGGACTTTCAAGGGAGCGAAGGAAAAGCGACACGACGCATCGAATTGCTGCGCAAGCCCAATCCGACCTTTGGACAGGCTTCAAGGACCCAGGGCCTCCTCACATGGAAATGGAGCAGGGGAAGCACATGCTGGGCTGCTACATCATTGTTCAGATTAGTGGGCACATATTGCGCTTAAGCCTCGATTCACTGCCTGATTCATGATCTGGGCAATCTTGCCGGTGCTCAGTTTTCGTCCAGCACCGATTTCCGCGACTAGGAAGAAGGCGTCTGAAAACACAACATGCCCACTCAAGCAATACGTGCGGAATTTCAGCCACATCTCGTGCATCTCCAGTACCAACCTTGCGCTTGGCCTGTTTGGCCGTGGCAAGCACACGGCCCGAACGCTGAAACTACTTTGCTACATCCGGACCCCTGACCTCCCATATGTGGCAGTGTTGATCGCAGCTGTGGTGTCAACACTGAACCCGACCTGCGCCCGGAGCAAACAGGAGGCCACGAGGAGTAAAAGCTGCTGCCGCCTTGGATCTACACATAAGACCTCGGAGTGCAAGTGCACCCCATCTGGTTGGGTGCTCTCAAGCTCCGGAGGTTGGAAAAGACCCGCGGAGGTTGGAAAAGACCCGCTGTCCAGACATAGCAGCAAGCTGCCGCTTGGGAGGGCGCCCCCGCCGTTGCCCGTGGGCG